CAATTTTAACCACCATATTACAAACAAATAATTCTGTTAAATTATTTTTAGCAACAGGTGAAATATCTAGTATGGCGTATCCATTATCTATTGTCGCTAAAAAATCAATACAAAAGAAAAGGGCTTATACAGAGACTATTGGAATTGCATGTAAAGTGATTAATATTGCTATTGAAAAGGACAATTCATATATTCTTAAGTTTTTAAAGAAATATATTGTTCAAAATGATCATTCTCTTGTTGAAAATATAACCAGTACATCTTCTTCTAGTCAAACGACAAATTTATATAAGGAATATTCTGAACCAAATAACATTTCTAAGTTATCACCTGTTAAAGTTACTAATCCTGTGAAAAAAAACTAGAAGAGGCTGTTCACCAAAAATAGCATATTATTAATCATCTTTGGAAAGTCAATAACAAAAGAGCCAGGAAAAATGACCTAAATTAGTATGTGAGCCAGAAACCAATACATGCAGTGAATGTGATAGTAAAGATTATAATTGTTGATGGTATCTCAAACATGAAAATAAGATCTATGATTCTTCAATTATTTGTAAATCTTGCAGTGAAAATGGTTATAGAAAAGAACTACATAATAATAATTTTATTGAAGCAAATAAATTAAATCAGGTTGCTAGTGATAAAAGTGAATGAGAAAGCTCTAATAATTCAGAATTTGATGCTTAATTTATTTAATTTTTATTTTTTTTAAATCTCTAGTTACTGATATAGCTTAATACTATTTAGAACATATTAGTATCTGCATGTGTAAAAAATATTAATGAATTATATAGTCGACTTTTATTATGTATTTTTTTGTTAAATACAAATCATCCAATCTTTTATGATAATTCAGAGTCAGTATTCTAGTTTCTAAGTAAATATTAAGTAATATTAATCTATATCTGAACATAATATTTATACTATCAAAAATTCTATTTCAACTATAGTTTACTTTATTAAGTAAAATTTCTCACCTGATAACTTTGCTATAAAATAGGTTGGCTGGTTATTGCCAGAGCTATAAATTGCTAACTTTTATCCTATAATTTATACATGGTGATATTTAATAGCTTAATTTTAATTTATATCCAGATATATACATACATACATATAGCACAAGAAATCCAAAAATCTATATAGAGATGATGCATAAACTAGTATTATATAAAATATAAAATTTAAATTATTAATCTTAATAAGCAAAGAACAATATATATACAATAGCAAACTTAGTTTATCTTTAATGAGTTAGTTAACATTTATTCTATTTAAAGTGATTGAAGTTTTTAAGTTTTCTGCATTATACATATATATATATATATATACTGTATACTTCAAAGTAGAGGTCTGCATTGGGTTCCAAAGCCCGGCCCGATTTGCAGGCCTGGGTGGGCCTAAAAAAATTTTTTTAAATTGTGGGCCGGGCCAGGCTGAAATTTTTGAAAAATTTATATTAAAAATATGTGGGCCGGGCTGAGTCGGGTCGGGCTTAGTAAAAAAATTTAAGCTGTGGGCTAGGCTGGGCCGGCAACAAATTTGTAACTCTAATTGCGGGCTAGGCCCGGGCCTTAAAATTTGGAATTTGCAGGCCTCTACTTCAAAGAGAGCTATACATAATTAAATATATATAGTAGTTCAAACAATGACTCTATGATTTAATACTCTGTAAATACCCGATATGAATAGTACAAACCCAAATAAAAATTAGGTTAGGGTTGATTAATTAGTATATATTTTGCTTTTTTCTGTTTTCACTTTGTGCATTTTTTTTAGGTTTGTATCACACATACTAGTGTGTATATATAGGTTGGTATTACAAGAATATGTAGTTGTATAGCTATTAGCAATTTGTTATTGTTGTTATTATACAAATTATATATATATAATAATGTAACTATATATGTTGTATAACTATTGATCCTACTAAAATACTATAATAATAATATTTAATTTGATTAGCTAATAACACCCTGCATTCAAGTTTTCGTTTCACAATTGAAAAACTCTCCTTGATGATCATCTGGACCAGAATTTCCTACCGAAGAAAAACAAAAATCTTGTTGAAAAGTCGTGACCTAACATGTGGTTTGCCTAGAGGTTAACGGTTTTTCTCTTCCGGGACTCCTTTATAAGCTGTGTGTTTGGCATGCAAGCCAAGAGCATTGGTATACAAGATAACTGGCAGAAGATATGTGCCTTTGGATACAAAATCTTGGTAAAGAGACTGGAGTCTTCTCCGTCAACGAAGCACTTAGGCTGTTACTTTGAAATGAGAAACGCAGAGGAAACAACAAGTACTTGCCTTTCTTCAAGCCGTACTCTTTTACTTGACCAGGTGGTTCCTTTTTTTTTTTTTCTTCTACTCACCCTCCCGTCGGTCTTCCAAAAATTTTGACAAAAAGTGGAGATTTGGCTTACTCCCTCCAAACGATCGGCATAGGTTATACAGTGTTTACATTCCCATATCCGGTTGACATGGTAGATAGCAATTATGTGTCTAATAAGTGGACATGGTGTTACTGGTTTTGGCTCGAGGCTACTGGAAACTGAAGAGTTGGCATGGGACGATGACAGTATCTGATTAGAAGAACCCAGGAGAAGACTTCCGGAGATAGTAAGGTCAGAGAGGAATTAATAATATAGGCGAAGCCTTACAATAGAGATATGCAGTGTTGCTATAAGCATATAATTTTTATACTCACCTGGCATGGGTTATAATAGTATATTTTTCCTTTTTCTCGTTGGGATCGCCAACTTTTCTTTTTTACTTTTTTTCCTGGTCCATTTATAATGGAATTATATTTAGGATAGTTTCTTTCTGTGGTTTTTGGTTTTAATTTTTCTTTCATTCTCCTAAATGTTTTTGGTCTTTCATAAACATAGTATATATGGGCTTGGTGTTACAGAAAAGGGGGAAATCGACAAATTTTCAAATTTTTTTTTTTTACACAACTCAATTTAGAATAATGTTAGGATCGTTTTTCACTTAAAACATGAAAGAAGTTGTATTAATAAAATTTTGTAGTATAGCTCTTTAAAGTTTGTATTTTCTTATGATTTATTATAAAATTTATAACATAAAAATTGATCTTCCGAAGATCTATTGTTTTGTCGATTTCCCCCTTTTCTGTAGCACCAAGCCCATATGATCTTGCTTATAGAAGAGTAGGAGATAGTTATTCTGCTCGGATTTTGGTAGAAAAAGTTAGAAAAAAGGTTGGTAATCCTGACGAGATATACAACGGCCAGTCCATAATTGAGGAGGGGTACCCTTTGGGATACGAAATTATGAGTAAGTTCATGATCTCTGAGTAGACAAACAGTTGTTATAACAGGTCACATTGGGCATTTATGCTTGGTGAGTCTTTATTATGTTAGAGTAATAAGTTGTAAGGATTTTGTATACATGGGTGTAAAAATTATATAACAGTTCATATGAATAAAGGCAGGATCGCTTAAAAAAAAAAAATAAAAAAAAATAACACCCCGCACTTGATACGGTATATATCAAAAATAAATGTCCTATTTTTAAAGCTATATTTTAAAAAGTTATTATAATTTTTTAAAAAAATAAAGCTACTAAGTTGTAGCAAATTAATCAAAATAGTGGCTTTTTTTTAAAAATATCTTTTTTAGATCAAAAGTTATTAGCTTTTAAAGTTTGTGTAGTTTTTAAGTGTCATGCACTATACAACTAGAAATTTGTATAGATATTACTCTTGCTATAATTTGCTAATAATAGCAATTACTATAATAGATTAAAGATTTTAATTAGTAGCTTTTAT